TCTATTACAGTGAAAACATTTGATATCTCTTCTAGACTTGGATCTTCCTCTATAACCATATGGATTTCTGCTATGACTTCTTCCACGTCTTTCTTGTTTTTCAGTAACAAATGCACCAGAAGAAGATTCACCATGTTCTTTCCTTCTTGCATCTTCATTTAACAAACTGTCTTTAACCATATTTATGGTTAGAGTCCCCTCTGGCGTGGAGTTACAAATAGTCACCACATACGTTTCCCAACTTTCTGGTAAAGAGCTGAGAAGTAATAATCCCTGCATCTCATCATCTATATTCATTTTCATAGCAACCAACTTGTTTACAAGACTCTGAAATAGGCTTATGTGCTCAATAATGTTACCACCATCTTTATACTTCAAATTTACAAGCCTTCTGAGGAGAGAAATTCTATTTCCCACTGTCTTTTTCGTAAAAAGATTTTCTAACCTTTGCCAAACAACATCAGCTCTGATTTCATCTGAAATATGCTCATGCAAGTTTATATCCATCCATCTTCTAATATATGCAATAGCTTTTCTATGTTGAACTTCCTATTCTTCATCGTCCATAATAGAAGGTTTATCTTTAACCTTGATAAGCTTATACAAATCTTTGCAATAGAGCAAATCTTCCATCAGACGCCTCCAAGTGGAATAATTTGATGAGTTCAATTTAATCATACCATCTAACTGCTCCATTTCAATCACACAAGAAAACTAGCACCAAACAACCTGATGCTCTGATACCACTTGTTGGGAAGAAACCTGTTAATGCGGAATAATTCTTTCCCTCTTTGTGTATCAAAATAGGTTCCTCATCAAAATACCAACTTGATATTCAAATGCTAATATCAATCAGCACAGTATAAATAATAGAGCAATAAATCAATCACACAGTGAGACCAAATCTTTTTAACGTGGAAAACCCAATGTGGGAAAAATCACGGGACCGTAGTCCACCTCAAACTTCCACTATCAATAATGATGATAACAAGTTTACAGTAGGTCTTCTCTAGAATAACTAGAGGATCAGAATAACATCAAGAACATAGATCTTGGCTCAAGAATATCATATCTTCATCACAGATGGATCTCCTCCGAAGAGAATTTTAGGTCTCACAAAATGGATATCTCAGGAAAGTACCTTAGAGAGGGTAAACTACAGATCAACACCGTTAGGATTGTAGAGTTTGCTGCAAGGATTCTCCACATAAAATTTGGGCCGAAACTGACAACGTTTGGCCACCGATCGTCAAGCAGAAAACTCAGAAACCTTACTTTCTCTCTCTATTTCTCTCTGCACGCCGTCGCTGTTCACTGTGCACGTACACTGCACGCTGCACGCTGCTCTGCGTTTTTTTTTTTTTCTTGCATACCCTAATTTGCAATTTGTCCAAGCCCACATATGGGCTGGACCCAACAAAAGCTTATGGAACAAACTATTCCATCGTTGAAAACTGGATGTGTTCGTGTCAGAAGAGGAGATAGTTTCTGCATCGGACATGGAGAACAGCTAAAGCTTTTACTAGAATTCAGCATGCCTGACTTGCGTGGAACAAATTAACACTGGCTGTTGTTGAAATATCAAAGGTTTAGTGTTGTCTGCTACTCTGAAGTCCAAAACCAATTCCAACCCAAAATGAATACAATGAAAGCGACAGAACAGCCTTTCCCTGTCAGGCCAAACTCTGCAATCTAACTCTGTTTTGGGTGATTGATTCACTTGTTGGGAGTTGAGGTGCATGCCTTCAATGTGGTGTTCTTGCAACTGGCATCAGTAAATTATCACAAAGACATTCTTGATCAGTACCATCTCCCCTTCTATATATTTGCAGGGCAGTAACTTCATCATGTTATCATGCTTTACTACTACCTTAGATAACCATGCAGAAGCAAGCATATGTTGATGTTTCTCTTGGTTCAAACGTAGACAATTAAACCTTAGCTATGGTGTTTGACTGATCGCTGAGATGTATACTGCAAGAATATACGTCATACGGTAAGTAAGATAGAGAGGTGTCAAAAAGTAGTAATCTGCCTATACAATGTAAGACACAGTGCATGAGATTTCTGCCTTCAGAAGTGGGCTCGATAATGCATGGTTGGAGGGTGGCATGTGAAGCTAGCTGTGGTCAGAACGAAGCAAGTGGGAGTCTGCAGCTTTAGTAAACTCATGCTGCAATTTGTAATTTGTCTTGCATTGTAGTGCAAACAAACAGCTCCGTTGAGTCTATCGGTCACGCAATGACTAGGATACGGAAGAATTCTATGTGGAGAGAGTAGGATATGATGCATGCAGTCAGTGATTGGTTAGGCAAGCAAATCCAAGCTGGGCAAACCCCCCTGTCATCGTCCCCAGAACAATCATATCATTAAGGGAATCCCTCCTTGTTTACTAAGCTATCTGTTGAGCTGTTTCTGAAATCAATTGCACCCGATTCGTACCTCATTTGCCATTATCAAACGGCAAGAGACCTAAAAAATAGAGAACTCGTGTAAACATCTTGATTGTTGATGGTGAAATCCACAAATCTCTAACCATATAATGGAAGAGACCTCCAATGATGCGTGCAGCTACGAAGACACCCATCATGGACACCGTGGGCGCCTCTTCTTCCAATGATGCGTGCAGCTACGAAGACACTCATCAACGACACCGTGGGAGACTCTTCCGCCAATGATGCGTGCAGCTACGAAGACGCTCATCATCGACACTGTGAGAGCTGCTACCAATGATACGCAATCGACTCCGCGACTCGTTCAACGCTGCACAGAGCAGTAAGTTCTCGCAGCGGCCATGTCTGACCTCGGAACACAGAAAGCGAGATTCCGTGCACCGTCGCCACGGCACGTCCAGCCCCACGCCCTGTCGGCCCTCGTACTTTTTTGCGTAACCCACGCTGACAAGCTAACTCTTCTTTCTTCTTCCTCCTCCGTACATGTGTCCATTCTACATATAAATCTCCTTTGACAAAGCATCGTACCACGTTGCGCCATGCATGACGCGAAGAGTGGCGCCATGCATGACGCGCGCCGCAACAGGGCTGCGATGTGGGCATCGTCTACGCGTCCGGCACACCCGGCCCCGCCTGCCGGCTCCAAACCCACCCTCCCTACCGTGTGGGCCACCGCCTGCCCCTTCGCCGCCCTACACACCCCCGACCTCACCAGCGTCTCCTTCCGTCCCCTACGTGCATGGTTCCATCCCCTACCTCCCTAAACGCATCTATAAATACCCCGACCCTCGTCACCTCGTCATCACAATCATTACTTCCTCTCTTCAGACCTCGAGCTTGTTCCTGGTACTCGATCCACCAATGGCGGCGACCTCGACCGAGCTGGGTTCGGCAACCAGCGAGAAGGACGCGGAGAAGCTGGCGTTCATTGAGGAGATGACCGTGAACGCCGACAAGGTGCAGGAGCAGGTCTTAGCGGAGATCTTGACCCAGAACGCGGAGACCGAGTACCTGCAGAGGTACAAGCTCGGCGGCGCGACGGACCGCGCGGCGTTCAAGTCGAAGATACCGATGGTGACTTACGAGGACCTGCAGCTGGAGATCCGGAGGATCGCGAACGGCGACCGCTCCGCCATCCTCTCGGCTCACCCCATATCGGAGTTTCTGACCAGGTACAGTTGATCTGTTGGATCATTTTGCCGTGTGACTCGGGCGCACCATGGTTTCGACTAGTACCGGTGATTAACTCTTTTTGTGGTGTACTGCATACGTAGCTCGGGGACATCCGCCGGCGAGCGGAAGCTGATGCCAACCATCCAAGAAGAAATGGACCGGAAGCAGCTCCTTTACAGTCTTCTCATGCCTGTCATGAACTTGTGAGGCTCTCTCGGCTACTCTCTCTCTCTCCTTTTAACCATGTTTATGCAGATTAAATGGAGATAAAACGAAGCATTCGTGCTTTTCCTTCTCTTAGTTTTTCTGTAATCTCGGTTGCAACAGCCCAAAGTTGCACTGCACAAAGCTTAAACCGTTAACAACATATATAATATATCGATAATAGTACACTTACGAATACGAAGAAGACTAAATGTTAATTTTCTTTTCTCTGATTTTAGTACCACATTAATATTGTTTTACCTAAATTAGAATATAAAGTCAAATTTTGATTCAAATATATTATAATGCAACATATGTACTATTATTGCGTGTTCAAATCTAAAGCTATCTGTGCAAGCCTCAAAAGACTAAATTAGTATTTTTTTTATGTATATACCTGTGCAATTGTTAGCAAATGCGAATTGTCGGAGTTCGATCACAAATTTCTTCTTACGAATTAATTGAGGTAAATTAATTTCAATTGTGCATATAATTAATCTTCGTGAAATGATTAGGTACGTGGCTGGGCTAGACAAGGGCAAAGGGCTCTACTTCCTGTTCGTGAAGTCGGAGAGCAAGACGGCCGGCGGCCTCCCCGCCCGCCCGGTACTCACCAGCTACTACAAGAGCCACCACTTCCGCGCCCGCCCCTTCGACCCTTACAACGTCTACACCAGCCCTACCGCCGCCGTCCTCTGCGCCGACGCCTTCCAGAGCATGTACGCCCAGATGATCTGCGGCCTCCTCGACCGCCTTGACGTTCTCCGCGTCGGCGCCGTCTTCGCCTCCGGCCTCCTCCGCGCCATCCGATTCCTCCAGCTCCACTGGAAGCAGCTCGCCCACGATATCGCCTCCGGCACCCTCAGCTCGAAGATCACCGACTCCGCGATTCGTGACGCCGTGGCCCAAGTCCTCAAGCCTGACCCTGCCCTGTCCGATTTCATTGCGTCGGAGTGCTCCCCCGGCGACTGGGCGGGGATTATCACGAGGATTTGGCCAAACACAAAGTACCTCGACGTGATCGTGACGGGCGCCATGGCGCAGTACATTCCCACCCTCGAGTACTACAGCGGCGGCCTGCCCATGGCGTGCACCATGTACGCGTCCTCCGAGTGCTACTTCGGCCTCAACCTCCGGCCCATGTGCAAGCCCAGCGATGTCTCCTACACCATAATGCCCAACATGGCCTACTTCGAGTTCCTCCCCCTCGACTCGGCTGCGGCGAACGCGGACGCTCCGCCGCAGCTCGCGGACCTGGCCGGCGTCGAGGTGGGCAAGGAGTACGAGCTGGTGATCACGACCTACGCGGGGCTGTACCGGTACCGGGTGGGTGACATCCTGCTGGTGACGGGGTTCCACAATGCGGCGCCGCAGTTCCGGTTCGTGCGGCGGAAGAACGTGCTGCTGAGCATCGAGTCGGACAAGACGGACGAAGCAGAGCTGCAGCGGGCGGTGGAGCGGGCGTCGGAGCTGCTTCGGCCGTGGGGCGCGAGCGTGGTGGAGTACACGAGCCAGGCGGACACGAGGGTCATCCCGGGGCACTACGTCATCTACTGGGAGCTGCTGGTGAAGGGAGGGGAAGGGGGCCGGTGGCCGGGGAAGGAGGTGTTCGAGGCGTGCTGCCTGGAGATGGAGGAGGCGATGAACGCGGTGTACCGACAGAGCCGGACGGCGGACGGCTCCATCGGGCCGCTGGAGATCCGGGTGGTGAGGGGCGGCACGTTCGAGGAGCTCATGGACTACGCCATCGCGAGGGGGGCGTCCATCAACCAGTACAAGGTGCCGCGCTGCGTCACCTTCCCGCCCATCATCGCGCTCCTCGACTCGAGGGTGGTGGAGACCCACTTCAGCCCCGCCTGCCCGAGGTGGAGCCCCCGCCCCAATTAGCTGCCCATTGGTCGACGCACGCCTTCCAAATGAAATATCTATACCCAACCACCGACCGATGATTTAAGGATAAATAAGATCCTAATACATGTATTTCATGTTTGTTCGCCGCCCGCTTGTGTTGTCGCCTTGGAGATGTAACCATGGTTGACTCTCGATTTAAATTTGTTGTCCCACGTATATCGTCTGTGTTGTGTTACCATCAATCTAAATCCAAAATAATTACCTCAGTGTCAGCGATGGACGAAGAACATTCACAACATCGATCTCCCTCCGCCAACATGGCGAGCCATTAAGGTCTTGATGGACCATGACGGCACACGAACATGTTGTGAGCGGCAAGAAGTCAACTCACACGTGGAACTGTAAGGGTTCTGATGAGGACGTGGGTCATATGTCATCCAATCGAGTCGGGTGAATGGATAGATAGCGGTTAATAAAGCCTAGATTTGCTCCCAAAGGGTTGACCAAGGCCTACTTTCTTTCTAGCACTCTCTTTTCTTTTCCTTCATTTTCCCCTTAAGAATCCTAACCTATTTTATTCACCCATTTGAAATCCGATCAAAGGGCATGACAATCTAGAATAAAAACAATAAGGTATATACAAATTTCATTACATGTATATATGGATACCTCGGAAAAATTCAATCCATCGTCAAACCTCTAGAAGAAGGGATCATTAATGTATAATCCTGCATATAACATACCACGAACAATACGGAGCCGTATGAGGATCAGAAAACTACACGAAATGGCGTTTGAATACCAGAGAAAAAGAAGGGAATGGCACACGACGACATGTAGGCGACAGTCCATGTTAGCGTTGCAACGGCGGACGTCGACAGGGAAACGTACAAGTCTCACGCACGCGTGCAGTACTCGCTCCCCTCCTTTGCAAGGAGACACGGCTTATAACTATCGCCATCGTCAATCAACAGTAGTACAGAACTCATGCTGTCAGCAGAGAATTCAACTTCTGGAATGGCATGGCAAACAGGAGGTGTGTGCGCAGAGACAGCGACCAAACATGTCTGCAGTATTTGGTCTTTAGGCTGCCTCATGTTTAAACTATGCATGCCAGGTGATGCCAACCTGAGACTGTTCCTAGTTTTACTATCTGCCGGCGTGCGTGACCATTAGCTCCTTCAACGGCTGAAGTATTATTATCTCTGGTTCCCATCTGGCAGTTCAGCGACCTACCGTGCGATGATGTTATGTGGGCCGAGCTCGGAGAGTCAGTCCATGGCTAAGCCTGGGACTGAGCTAGACTGGCCCAGTGCATGGATCTGCGTGAGTTCTTGGCTGTTTTTGGAGAAGGCAAATGTAAGATCTCCCAGTCTGCTAGCCAGAATAAGAAAGAAAACATGAAACCCTATGGATGTTATATTAAACACTATGCTAGCTGGTAGATTGCTCACGGACAGTTTCCTCGGTTCACTGTTTGATGAAATGTCTCGCCAAGCTTACACGCATTTCTGAGCCACTAGAGAGGGCCGAAGGGCTCAAGTTTCGTGGCGACGACAAACGGAGAACTCCACTTGGAGGTGTCAGTCTTCGGGAGTCGAGGAGAGGAAACCTTCATCTACGGCGCTTGTGTCTGATGGAGAGAATACAGGTTTGACCACGACATGGTCGCGGTGTTGCGAGAACAGAGAGACATGTGTGTTTATATATGTCCTCATCTGCCGAGATTTGTCCGCTAGCTTTCAGACGTTTGCTGCTATCGAGCAGCGGCAGCGGAGGTCAGCCATTCATAAGCAGAGAGAGAGAGGAGGAGGAGGAGGAGGAATCTGCAACAGGAGCACTACTGGTGGACTGTTGCTGCTTTGGGTGGCGAAAATCATTTGAGATGACGAGGGAAGCAGATGAGGGTCACTTTTTTGCTGTAGAGAAGAGACGAGCAGCTTCCAAATGTTAGCTTTTGTCATGGAAACCGGTCGGTCTCCCCTACCAACGCAAACTTCTCTCGCAGCGTTCGCTGCTCACATGAATGGAAGTTTTGTTATGACCCACACCGCATATATGGTTGCATCTCATCGAACATAAGAGATGTTCCATCACGAGGCACTGCTTCGCCCAGGAAATTGTGATTCCATGTTCATCAGATTAATCCTCTATATGTAGCCCTTGGGCAATGCTTTCTGCTTGTTGCTCTTGATCTCTGAACTCTAGATTCATCCTCCATGCATGGCCGGGAAAACGAGCTCGGGATGATCTTAACTGCACTAAACTTCCAACGAGAGCTACACTTGGTTGAACACAACAACATGCATCTTCCTGTGCTTGCAGTCACGCAGTTCATCTGCAGCACTCCATGTCCTTTTAATTAGGTGCTTTTCCTTTCCCTTTCCCTTTCCCTTTCCCTCAGGTCGATGGAATCTACGGCAAAAGGGTGCAAAGGAAAAAGGAGAAAGTAAAGGGATGGGCATAGTGACTTCATGTGAGAGCCAGAAGAGTAGCATCTGATCTCGCAGCACCCATACTCCCATTTGGATTCCAGATTAAATTGGACTGATGCGTTTGGTACAGCACTGCTCTTACGTACTGCAGTGGAATACTAGGTGTGCAGTAATATAAGCTATGCTATTAAATATGCAAGGCTGAAGCATTCACTGCTTAATATGTGATTCAACTGCTGGTAGCTGGCAGCCACTGGAGCTTCACGTACAGTCCAGCATTAATGGCTTCCTATCCCTTTGGACCAGTCTCAGCTGCAGGATCGTTCGTGACTAAGCTGAGGTCTCAAATCACTTGAAGAGTTCCCAGCGGCATAGTTCATGGAACAGAGATATTCAGATGGCCATTGTCATTTGACTCTGCTGAAGCTGAAGAAACATTTACATGGTTAGATTAGCTGGGGGCCATTCGTAGATTGTGGAAACCCATGATTTCTTCTTGGAGGGATGACATGCAGTTTATGAGATATCAAGTACATGTTTTCAGTAAGCAAACCAGATGTTAAGTTGTACCCAAATACAACTTTATGCAACTTGTCCATTACACTCTGTAGCATCCTTGGGGTTTATGCTTGTGCTCAGGGTACTGCTTTTTGGTGGGATTCCTGAGTGCTAGCTATTCCATGTGTAAATGCATGTCCTCCATGCATGAAGACATAGTCACGAGACTGGTAGCTCTCTCTCTCTCTCTCTCTCTGGAGTTAAAGCAAGGAATAAATTGCCGGGGAATTAAGTTAGGAATAAAGAGGGAGGTGGGTTCCTAAGTGGATAGTACTTGGATTAGTTGACTAGCTTAATGACTCATGGTTTGTACCTGTAGTTAACTTTTTTGTCTATTCAGCTATGAATTGTTTATACTTGTTGTGTAGTTATCGGTCAACTTTTAAATCGACTTGTTGATTTCTGATGTCAAGAAAAAATAAATGTGAATTGTTTTTTTCCATCTGTTCTATTTGTCATTTGTATGTAGTATCTGAATAGAACTTTTGTCTGTAAGTTGTTTTCTTCCTTACTACAATCCATCCGAGGGATACTCATTTATTTGATCAATGACAAGTCATGAACAGGGATTTATCTGTCACTTTTTTCTAGAAACATATTCATTTTGAATGATTCTTCCTCGGCTTGTTCTTGAGCTACAAGTAACAGTACAAATTCATTTCTTCTTTTGATACTCTACAAGTAACAGCAGGTCAATTAATCACTTTGAAGTTTTCTGTAGAACAGTGGATTTCGAGCAACAACTTCATGTTCCTCTTTGTAATATAAGATTGTGGGTTGCTGTTTGTGCTGTCAATAGGAGAACAATGGCAGAAGACAATCCAATAAGACGATTACCACTGCCAGATACCATATGAGCTTTCAGAACACTATGGGAAGCTCTTCATGGAGGATATAGCAGCAGGTCACCGAAGACCCGTCTCTGCTGTCGGCTATACAATCTCTGCAAGCCATTAATTCACTGGCTGCATCAAGTACATGCAGCCAATGCAGCACTCTTGTAAGCTCATAACATCTTCCTTCATTTTAGCCACTCACGGACCTCTTTTGCGTTAGCATGGAACAGAGTAGAACTATTGAACACTAGTAGCTCAAGCTGTTAGGGAAATGGCGACTTATTCGTAAGCTCTAACATCATCAGGCCTCTCGATAGCATCCGTAGCAGTTGACATGGATGCCTATGTCGTATTGTGGATCTCAGAACAAAACTGCTGCCGATCGATGCCAATCGATCCTTCACCACGTCCTCGACTCGACATAGGATGTCGTGCAGGGTAAAGATGTTTCCACCTGTGATCATGGATTCCATACGTTAGAACATGCAGAGGGACACTTGTATTTGGGGAAACTAAGATCGAGGCACATGAGAAGGTGCCCTGTTTCATGAAAGGAGTGGATGAAGCTGAAGCTGAGCCATAATTGATTCCGATGCTTCCAACTTGTCGATGCCATGGCCATCTCCATGTGATGCTTTGTACCTTCGTCTGCTCAGGAGAATCAATCCTGCAGGAAATCCATCTTTTAGGTCAAACTGGAATCCTCTCGTCTTCAACTACCATATGCTGCCTAACATTCAATTCCTGGAGCTGTAAATCCATCGAGCACATTGAAGCTAGAGAGCAGTGTCTGTGCATCGGTTCACAGCAGAAGCCTTTTTCGCTGTCTGTGAACTGAACCTGCACTTTGATAGCGCAAATACCAGAAGGAAATAGGTGATTGCATGATATATTGTATGGTTTCTGATGACTGGATATAGTTTTGCATGGTTCTTGTTGTCCTGTGTTAGAGATAGAATCTGAAGAATAAGAAGATGGTCCAAGACAAATAACATAGACTGCATCGTCTTGTCTCCTACATCCACCTACCAGTCACCCTGCCCGTCTTCGAGGCAAGAGAGTGAGGCTTCTTCTTCACTTTTACTAAAGCAGTTCATCTGGTCCCCCATCTATTTTTTGCCCCTTCAAAATTCACCCATTTTTATGTGCTCTATGTATTTAAATCCCTAGAAAATTCAGCCAATTTGATTACAAGTTATCGATTAGAATATTAGTTCCCATACAATATAATATTATAAAGTAGATCGATGTGTATAGTCTTATAAGATTTCAAGCATATTAATTTGGTGGCGGCTTTGTGATAACTACAAACGCAAGAAGTACAAGAATTTGGATCAAAATCCTTGTTCATACGCAATGTTTAGGGGTCGCCGACAGGCTATCAATTCTCCCATGATTACGCAGTAAATGCCTGACATAGTTCATGCACGGCCCATGAATATGACTCTGTTGTACGTACTCGTGACCGTATACTCAAAATATTACTCGGAGAAGGAAAGATAGCCAGCTTGGGGCCAGATTAGCCGTGACAGGAAGCATGGCCATCACGTGATTCTACGATCGATAGGCCTATAGCCAAATGCACGCCCCATGCATTCGGCCATCGTCCTCGATAGGACGGATGCACGAATCATAAAGTTCTCCATGCATGTTTAATGGCCGTCGCATAATTCCCGGAATAAATGAACTGGCTGCCATGCCGTGCATGTTTTGGTGGTCATCACATAATACTTGCGCGGCCAACCTGATGAAAGCAACGGTTGGATGAGCACATGCAACGATTTGGTGGGATGATGGGGACGGGGCCGCATGGAAACGAAATCACATGTTGATGTTTTGGGTCCTATTCATATTGAAACCAATAAAGAACCCAAACGCACACAAGAGTACAAATAAACAGTTTCACTTTTAACACCTCAACCCCAAAAAAAAATAAATTAATATCCTTAAAGTCTTATATTTATTTTTAGATATTTCACCAGATTTATGTTGTAATTTTCAAACTGCAAAGTTTTGTTTCTTTTATAAATTGAAGCACGGGACAATATTCGAATCAGGACCGTCGGATTTGGTCTCAACGGCTACATATAAAAGAAAAAAATAATTAAAAATCATTTAAGTCGACGAGGAGGACCAACAGAATGGAATAAGGTCACCTTGGTGTCACGTGACGAATCAGACGCCCGAAACTTCGCGTTCGCCTTTTCCTGCGGCAACAACCGTGGCTCACGTGACCGACGCCGTCAACCGAGCCCAACCGGTCCCGGTCTCTGGCAGCGGCGCCGTCGTCTCGGTCACACTCGCCGACGGCGAGCAAACCGGCCACCTCACCGCGCCTTAGCGATTAGGGACGATTAATATTTCTTTCTTAAAAATAATAAAAATAATATTTTTGACATATGAATTCATTTTTCCCAAATAAATTAATATAAAAAGGAACTCGCTTTCAATCCATTTGATTCCCTCCCTTCAGTTCTGATATCTCTGCGATGGGTCCCGCCGATGTTCGATGGTTGAGATGTTATATATATATATATAATATATATGCATATATAAATGGGTCCCACCACACTCGAGTGGGAACCGGCGTTTCTTTTCTGTTTCGTTCCTTTCGCCACTTCGGCTTCGCTCTTTTCTCTCTCCCCCCCGCATACACACACACCAACTCAACCAACCTACAGTTGGAGTCACTCTTCCCACTTCTTCTCTTTCCCTTCTCCTTTTCTCCTCCTCTTTCATCCCCCCCAAAAAAGTACAAGGAGACGCATTTTAATTCCTGCCTTCCTCACGGGCTTCGTCCATCTTCGACGCCGTCTTCTCGTCCTTGGCCGTCTTGCGTCTTCTCTTTCTCTCTCTCTCTCTCTCTGTTTGGGCTTTTGAAGGGGCGGCGAGGGATCCGAGGAGTAGGTGGGAAGAGGGCGGCTGATGGAGAAGAAGCAAGGGTTCTTCTCGGCCCTGAGGGAAGAGGTGGCCAGGGGGCTGTCACCGGCCAGGGCGAGGTCGGAGATCGCGCGGCGAGGCCCGTCGACGATGGCTGGGCTGCTCCTGCCGCGGTGGTGGAGGCGCAGTTACCAGCTCGATGGGGAGCCGGTGGTGCCGAGATCCGGCAGCCTGGCTCCGCTGATGGAGGGCCCGGATCCCGGGGAGGCGGAGAGGGAGGACGCGCGGAGGGAGCGGGGGTGGGGGCAATGGGTGAAGGACCAACTCTCGCGAGCACCGTCTGGCTCCGCCGCCTCCGCGTCTTACCGGCGGTCCGACCTTCAGCTGCTCCTTGGGGTCATGGCGGCGCCACTAGCCCCCATCCATGTCTGCTCCACTGACCCGCTTCCTCACCTTAGCATCAAGGATACTCCTATTGTGAGCACTCTTATCTTCTGTTTCTTCGACACTGGATATTATGTTCTAGCTTTTATCAATTATATGGAATTTGGGGCGGCTAGTGCGATTATGATAATTATGTTTGATGAAATGCATGACATGTTACCCCGAAATGCACCTCTACTTCGATTTCTTTCTGCATGGCATTTTGAAGTCATTGTATCATCAGTTACTTGTTGATCGACATCTTTTGGCTACAGATCCTCGTTGTGGATCAGATGCCTAACTCTTCTTTGTTTTTGTTGTCGTAGGAGACCTCGTCGGCTCAGTATATACTGCAGCAGTATACAGCAGCATCTGGAGGTCTGAAGCTGCTGAGCTCCATCAGGAATGCTTACGCTATGGGGAAGGTGAGGATGGTGGCAACTGATTTTGAGACGGCCACCAGGGTCATCAAGGCCAGGAATGCATCCAGAGATGCAGAGTCCGGTGGCTTCGTCCTCTGGCAGATGGCGCCTGACATGTGGTACGTGGAGCTCGCTGTCGGTGGTAGTAAGGTCCATGCCGGTTGTAATGGCAAGCTAGTTTGGCGCCATACGCCATGGCTTGGTGCGCATGCTGCCAAAGGCCCTGTCCGTCCCCTTCGTCGGGCTTTACAGGTACAGAGCCAGTTGGGGGGAGCATAACTCTGTTAAATAGGGTTGCTTCAATCATATTAGATACTTGAGTCGTGTTACTTATCCGGTGGCTTTGTTGAGATGGTCTCGTGTTTGTATATGTAGGGTATTGATCCCTTGATCACAGCGAGCATGTTTGCCAAGGCACGGTGCATTGGGGAGAAGAAGGTCAATGGCGAGGATTGCTTCATCCTCAAGCTCTGTGCAGATCCACAGACGCTCAAGGCAAGGAGCGAAGGACCTGCTGAGGTCATTAGACATGTCTTGTTTGGTTACTTTAGCCAGAAAACTGGGCTTCTTATCCATATTGAGGATTCACATCTGACCCGAATCCAGTCAAGTGCCGGTGGTGATGCTGTGTACTGGGAAACCTCCATCAACTCCTTCATTGATGATTACCGCCCGGTTGAGGGTATGATGATTGCACACTCTGGTCACTCAGTTGTCACTCTTTTTCGGTTTGGTGAAGTGGCCATGAGTCACACAAAAACCAGGATGGAGGAGTCTTGGACTATCGAGGAGGTGGCTTTTAATGTTCCCGGCCTTTCTGTGGATTGCTTTATCCCTCCGGCTGACGTAAAGCATGGATCTATCGATGAAGCCTGCGAGCTGCCTCAAGGGGAGAGGGGAAAGAATCTCATGGTTGGGGGTCATCGGGCTAAGGTTGCAGCTCTGGAGAAGTTTGGGTCTATCGATGAAGCCTACGAACTGCCTCAAGGAGAGAGGGGAAAGAATCTCATGGTTGGGGGTCATCGGGCTAAGGTTGCAGCTCTGGAGAAGTAACACAACGATGCTGAGGTTAACATCATGTGGGTGGTGAAAGTCTAGTGCTAGTACCATTTAAGATATGAAGTGAATTGAGCTGTCTATATTAGTAGTCATAGTTATAACTGATCAACTGACCATGAAGATAAGCCCAGAGAACCTACTTTTTGGGTAATTTGGAGTTTGCTCATCAGTATGTCCCCTGTAAATCGGACCATAATGGTTTAGTGCATCTATGCCCGCAGGCCCTAGTGGATTTTTTAGTCCGAAAGCAGGGTTCATAGGTAGAGCTGGTTTGGTTATTTTGGTAAGTCAGCTCTGGGGGATGGAGAGGAGCTCTCTTCTTTGTTCTTTGAACAGGGTGCTACTTCCAATCCTGAATCAGGGGGATCAGTATGGATGCTTTTTTTTCTTCTTCTTACGACTAGTTTATTTTTCTGGTGGTTCAAGAACTTCAACTGCCAGCATGTTTCTGGTTAGGTGGCTGGGGTTGAGTTCTCATGTGTTTTTTGCTTGTTTACTGGTGTGGAAACTGTCCAAAGTTATGAAGCTTGTAAGTAGCTGTGGGTTGAGTTCTCATGTGTCTTTTGCTTGTTTACTCGCTGGCATGAAAATTGTGCATGATATAAAGCTACAAGGCTTAAGTGCGGATTGGACGTTGGGTTTGGATTTAACTTTTCGCAGAATTAGCCTTGCCATAATAGTAGTTTTGGACCAAAACTTTTCTGTATCTGATATTCGTGGCGTATTACTTCACTAGCTACTTTATGGCTTCATATTGTCCTAGTCTTATGCCATCATTGTTGCTTACATTATCTTCCAAAGTGCTATTCTTCTTTTCCTTCTGCATGACTACAACTTGAGTGTACTACTGATGTCGGCTGGTCCAGGTTTCATGTTCACTGGGAAAAGATAAATTAAGAGCCTCCTGGCCTCTGTCCTGTCCATGTTATTATATCTTGGTTGCTTATATAATATTTTCTTTAAGTTGTCTTATTTTCCTTTTGCATGACTACAACTTTACTTTATTGATGCAGCTGGGTCCAGTACTGATGTTCAGGCCTCTGTCTTGGTCATGATAATTTATCTTGTTTGCTTATAATGTCTTCCAGAATCTTGTTATTTCCATTTGCATGACAGAGAAGGTATAAATAAAGAGCCCGGTGGCCTCTGTGCTGGTCATGTTAATTTACCTTAAGAAACTGTTTTGACAAGCCAGGAATAGTGGTAGATATAACTGCAGGAAACATGGAAATATTATTACCTGGGGGCATGAGTCTGGAAGAGACCCCCCATGTGGTTCCTTATTACATTTAAATATTTATTTGTCTGAGCCCTTTTCAGTTGCAGGTTGTGCATTTGAATTTGATATCTACATGCATGCAAATGGTGGGTGGTAAGTAGCATGCATCTCCATCTTTTCCTCATCATCAAGCTGCTTCCAAGCCATGGTTATTAATGAGCATGCTCTCTTTGTTCCAGTAGGTCAATGTATATGCTTGATGGGAGGTGTGCCCTGGGGAAGAGAGGCCACTTGACCTAATGAGATCCAGGTATGTACTTGGTACCCTTGCAGTTATGTTTTATTACTACCCTTCGAATAAGGAAGACTCTAACTTTTTGACTTCATGTTGCCACTGAAACCTTTTATTATCCTCTATATCTTCAGTAATTAAGCTTATGTTTCAGTAGAAAATTGCTTATGTTTCTAAATTAAAACTATACTTTAAAAGAGCATGCAAAACATGTTTTGGCTGTGATGCATAAGCTGTTCAGTTTTGATACAGAACTTTTAGGTGCTTGGTGTAATTTAAGCCTTTGAACTATCATTACCATCTGAGCAACAATAGAACAGAAGTAATGATGTACCATACCGCAACACTGTCTACCTGATCACAGCTCACCTTGGCAGAACGGTCTGTGAATGATGGCAGCACTGCCATGTTTCTGCGATCTGAACTTGAATTCATTTCTCGGCAGGGGAGGGAAAACGATGATCTCCGTGGTGAAAAATCTGGCCAAGGACGAGAAGAATAAATGTGTGTGGTGGATCGAAGCGAGGGTGAGAAATCATTGAATGAAGGGTACAAGGAATCTCGAGGATGAGAAAGTTGCTGATTGTGCCAATGAGTTAGAATTGCTCTGCTTGTCCTCCGAGCGAAGAAGCGAAATCATTTTACGAGTAGGAGACATGTCCAATGCCGTGAGAAGGGAAATCATTCAACGCATGCGCTCTGCTGCTGCTAACTCGATTGCTTTGGATGAAACGAGCGTGAGGAACAGATAACTGACACCAATCAAGTGGCTGATTGAGACTGCCTACAAGAATTCATGTCTCGGGCTCGAAAGTGTATTGTCATCTTTCTTTCTTTTTTCCCCTTTGTTTTTTTGTTGAAGTGCTCGACCATCTTGATTGAGGCATCTCAACAGCACGCATCTTTTTGTGCATTCGTCCATCCAATTTTAGTAAACAGCGACAAGTTGCTCAGTTGGAGTAGGAAAATTACTCGTTAGAGAAAACATGTTGAATCAAGGGAATGAGTTTCGTTGATATTATTATCTTCTTTCTTAACAAAAGGAATGGTTTTGGGGAGGATGAAGCAACACATACTGCATTGTTATTATCAGGATCTAATAGGGATACAAAAGCATAGTGCTTGCTGTTAGATGTCAAATTGATCGAAACAAGTGCACACCGAGCTGACAAACACATTTATCAGTCTTTTGCATTCATCATCACAGCCAAACAAGCTTTGATAGATCAACATCACAGGACTTGGTGGCACTTATTGTACACGAAGGTAGCCCAAATCCTGATGGGCCAACTCTCATCCGCTTACGGGCTATTATCGGCTTCCAATGCGATCATCCATGTCGGCCTGATCCCACCACCACGCGCACACGGGCAGAAAGCCTTCTTCCTCATTGGCCGCCGCAGCGAGAAGCAAAGCTGAATCCCACGCACCCGCAAGTAGCAGCAGCGAGAAGCAAGTGTTACGGGCCCCTTCGTTTATTTGTTGCTCTCTTTACTTCTCTTCCTCTGGTGTGGATCATCTATGAATACCCTTTGAATATGAACTATGCTTTTGGGTCGCATCGACGTCCACTAAGATGCGGTTAACCAACTTCCTGAAATGTGAACGGTTCGATGACTGTCGCATCGTTTGGTAGTTGGATAGGATCCGACATATTAGAAGCTCCACCCACTATATATGAACTCCCTCTGCACTCTGTTCTACAAACACTCTTTGTTGAGGAAACATGGATCGGCTCACCGCTCTCGCCATCGCCGTCCTCTGCCTCGCCCTCTCCTCCGCTGCTGCCCAGTCGCCGGCCTCCTCACCAACAGCTACCCCTCCCACCTCCTCCTCCACCTCCGCGGCCCCCGCCAAACACACCACCCCCGTCCCCGTCGCAGCCCCCGCTGCTTCCCCCACCAAGTCCACCGCCCCCGCCCCCGCCGTTCCGTCACCCTTCACATCCACTCCCCCAGCTCCAGTAGCTGCACCCCTCTCCTCCCCTCCCACCGCCTCCGTTCCCTCTGCGTCTCCTCCCACCGCGTCCCCTCCTTCCGACGCTGTCCCTCCGCCCACGCCTGTCCCCCTCAGCTCACCACCTAGCCCTCCACCTGCATTGCCTCCCCCCGAGCCGGCAACGGCCCCTCCGAAACCCGCCGAGGTCCCGGCGGCGTCACCACCGAAACCGAAAAAGAAGGGCGTCACCCCGGCCTCGTCGCCAGTAGCAACCACAACGCCGTCGACACCAGCTTCGTCCCCATCTTCCGAGGCCGCCTCCCCCGGCCCCAGTGGTTCTGCTGCTGACACGGTACGCTCTCTATCTCTCTCTCGCTTACCGTACCCTCCCATATATCGGTCGTCGGGTTCCGACTCGGACCGTCGCCGCGACCCCTTGCCGGGGTCGGACGGCACCCGCACTGCCCTACAACGTGTGGCTAAATCCTAGCCGTTGGCACGGGCGCAGCCGCAGCGCGTTCACCGATCGCCGCGTCCTCTTCGCACGTGCCACATGCCCCGAGGTCACTCGCCCACGGTAGTTTTGACAAGCGTCTCATCGCTAACTTGCGCCTGCCATTAATTTCTCCGACACCGCAGTCGCCAGCTGTGTCCGGAACCGGAACTCAAATACCTATTTACAATGTAGCTTTCTGCAAACCTTGAAGTCCGGTGTCACCATTCGTGCTACACTACTTTCTAACTGTGCATTCTCGCTGGTAGACGAGTTAATTGGTTACCAAAGTGGGGCCCGAAACTACCCCGACCGCAAGCAGCGGGTAAGACGGTAGGTTAAACGAAAAAAGTAATTTTAACAGTTCTATAAGCACCTCGGGGTGTACATTTCGTGAAGAAAAAATCTGGGCCGTCGGTTGTCGCGCTCGGTCACGTGATCCGTGCTCGTTCCTCGAGATTCCCATTTTCCTTTAGCCAAAAGGACAAATGCTTAATAAAAACCCGAGCCAATTAAAGACGGTAATTAAAATAAGACAGTGACGGAGATCCTCGAGATGGGACATGTGTCAGCTACCTGCTCCCCTATCACCTTCCGAGGAAGGTGTCAAAAATAGTAGATAATGCTGCATCATTTCATTTCATTTCTATGCAGAGCGGAGCAGCGAGCGGCGTGGGGAAGATGATGAGCTCGGTGGCGGTGCTGGCCGTTGCCATTTTGGTCATTTAGACTATATATGACATGACCTGATATGATATGTTTCGCGTTTAATAGGGTTAGAGTTTATTTTTAGTCGTTATTTGTCGTGTCACCAAAGTATCCCCGTTGTGATGGACCTGTTTTGGTCACCCGTGTTAGATGTTTGGCTCACTTGATTGAATGGGCTCTCTCTCCTTGGGTAGGAGAACATGCTTGATTCTTTGTTTTGAGAGGAGGGGACTCTGTTGGAGATTGATTGTTCTGCTTGACATGATCATTTGGATCCATTTACTTACACCTGCTACTTCTGCCTTTGTTCTGCCTGGTGCGGTGTGGATCGTGTACCTCGGTCCATTTCTTGCTGACAGATAGATGCTTTATTGTGGTGCCAAGATTTGTGTTTGTTCTCGTGATGCTGCGATGCCTTCTCATGAGTTTGAGTCGAGATTTTTCCGTCTCATAGTTGAGTACGAAAACGTCGGTGATGTTTAAGCCGGCCTTGCATTCCTTGGACACTATAGAAGTCATCTCCACTTTCCCTCTCCGGCTTTAATGCAGCAAGAAGTACTCGATGCATGGGCGACAACCGTCAAGGACCAGTGGATTCACAGGGAAGGCAGCTTTGATGGCCAAAAGCACCTAAGAGGACGACAAGGCATGACATAAATCATCGCCCAGAGGAATCGAGAAGCACTTTGTAGGTACAAAATCTTCCAGACAAAGTATTCCACGGGAAACGCTGTAAAAGCTAACGAAGCTTCCTACATCTTGAGAAATATGAAGTCTTCAGAACGGTCCAATATCCCAATACAAGAAGACTAATGTCCACAAAAGAGCAAGAGAGTGTCGAGCACATCATATGGACTTTTGTCGTTGGGCGGGCCTTCAATTGGGTTCCGAAAGAAAGAACAGAACAATCTAGACGTCCATCGGATCAATCTTGCTCGAATGCATCAGATAATAAATAGGGACGTCGTCATCTCACCGTCGCCTTCACTGACAGTCTCGCTCCCATCGATGACGTCATTACCGCATAGACTTTTATTGTTTATTTATTTATATTATTATTCGATCTCCGTAGAGGTGCGACGACGATCCCACGTCGCTCGCGGTTACGAAGGGAAAGAGCGGGTCGACATCGCCACGTTGGCATGTTCAAATATTGGGTTTCCCGCCTCTTCGAAGCCCTTTTCTTGAACCCCTTCGCTCTTGGATCCATTGCCTCCTCCAATCTCTTCTTCTCCGTATCAAGATCCCAATTATTGAGGAGCAGGATCCTTCCGGAAGTGGTCTTGAGCCCCCATCGTGGCTAATGGAACAGGACCAAGGCGAGACGGTATGGTCCGACGGAAGACCTGCGAGTCCATCTCATCCCCGCCTCCTCTCAGGTCGGTTCCCTTCCTTTAAACCTAGGAACCATTCTTCCCTTGATCCATCTCATCTTCGTCTCCTGATCAAGATCCCCGCCCTTGTCTTTCGAGATGCTTCCAAAGATGGTAGCGCACCGCGATCGAGGCTGCTGGAGCACGACGACGATGGGCCGGTGATGGACGGCTGGGAAACCGGCGACTCCTCGTTATCTCCACCTCATCTCAGGTCGGTCACTGCCAGTAAACTTAGGAACCCTTCTCCTCTACTGATCGGGAACATCGTTCTTGTCTTTCAAGATTCTTTCAGTGGCGGTAGCGCACCCCGATGACGAACGTTGGAACTCGAGGACGACGACCAGCTTGGACGACGGCCCAGAAGAAAAGTGGGTGATCATCTTCTCCTCGATCTCTTTCCAGGTCTGTCACAATCCCCTTGACCGATTTGTTCTTTTCCTCCATTCTTCTCGTTGTTCCAAGTAATCATTAGATCTTAAAGAACATAATAATTTCTCCCTTAGTTTTGGGGCTGATCTCTTGTAGAATGTTTACTTTTACGTGATATTGTGAAATTATGGGAACGACGGTTCGTTGTGTATGAATGGGAAGTCTGGGAGTGGTCATCGCCTCTGGTTGTTCATCAACTAACAACGATGAATCTTTGACTTGGGGATTTTATGAGATTACGTATATGGGTCATCTTTAGTCTTTGATAACCCTTGAGGTGCTCTAGGTTGTTGGGTAGTGGAAAAGTGGTAGGACTTGCAAGAATAAAGAAAGATCTAGTGGTGCATTATTCGATTTACAGCACCATCTTTAACTTTACTGATATCTTGAGTATAACACAAGTCATTGAAAAATGGTAATCAAACTATTCTGCTTTATTGTTTGTGCTGCCCTCTTTCTAAAACTCTAAAAGTTATTCGTAATTTTAAAGAAAGAAACCGATGTGCGGATTGATTACCTGATTTTTCTCGATCAACTAAAGAATTTTTTTGTTGAGGGGCCACTGGCTCTTCAACAAAAAATGCTCTGATTTTGAAGGAAAAAATAGTCTGTTCCATTATGTCGAGTTCCACAGATTTTGTATGTGCTGAATTGCCGCGTGGTAATAAAAAATGTTCAAACGAGGAAACCTCTGGCACTGCTTTTGCCTCCTATAAATGGATGATGCTCTGCTGGAAACTAAGTCAGACACAGTTAAGGAATTTTATTTAATCTAGCTTTTTTGTGCAAGCAAATCTTTCTTTCCATATTCTTACTGCTTACAGAATAATGTTTCCTTGAGATTTAATTATGTTGTAGTTTTATTTATGTGCAAGCAAATACTTTTTCTTTAGGGTTTCTTGTTGGGTTAATATCATGAGTAGTGCAGGGATTCTCGTGGTTAAGTATTTATTTATACATAAAAATGCATTTCATTAACTGATTCTTTACTTCCTTGATTATTCCCAAGTTTCACAAATTTTGAGATAGTTTCTCCGTTAGTGCTTTTCACATATGTTTAGCCTTATAAAGTTTGAAGCTAGTGTCTCTACCTTAAGAACATTAATATAGAGTTTATGTGCCTCCGAATATTAATATGCTTTACATAGACCCTTCCCAGTAACATCCATTCGATGAACTTAGGTCAACTGTGTTTGACTTGTGATTAGCAATACCTTGTTTCAATTATCTTTTATTTTATGTATGTATGTATGTATGTATGTTGGGCGGAGGAATGGGCTGCATGCTTAAGCCGGACAAGAGAGTGATTTCATTGGGCAATGGAACCTCACTTGTATTTTTAAAATCACTTGATGCCATAACAACAAACAGTTTCAGCCGACTTGCAAACTAATGGCAGTTTTCTTATTGTCATTCTAAGTCATGCTCTATGCGCAATTCTGTCATTCTAAGTCCTATCTGGCATTATTAGAAGCAGTTGCTTTATTCATTCATGTTCTTAATGATTCAAAGTTCATCCTCTTTTTAAAGTTTCAACGAAGGGTGAAATACTTATGCTCTTTTTAAGTTTTGATCCATAATCGTTGTAAAGAACATATGTACTTTAAGTCCTATCGGGGATTCTTCCGAGCCCGTTTTGTCCTTTAATCATTTCTTTAAACATTACGTCTCTACCATGAATAATTTCTTTCGAACTTTGAGCCTGTCTCTGCACAGATGTCATCGAATCGCGGCAACCTAAAGGTGGCAACGATGTGGTGCAAACTGCCAAAATTTACATTGCAATTGCACTTTACATTACTGCCAAATTAACGAATAATTTAAAGGAAAAAATAACGCACACTCTGCTACGGCATATGTTTGTTTAAAAAATTGTTCGACGAAAAATGTTTTGAACACAAGTAAAATGAAACTATCACTAATCTAATTGAAAAAATACAAAATTTTAAATTTTAAATTTCCACTTACTAGTTTTGAGTTTAAATTACAAATTTGAATATCTAATTGTAATTGCAATTTTCAGGTTATCTAATTGTTAACAATTGAATATTTATATTATTTCTCGAAATTGTTTCAAATTTACTTGAAATTTATTTAAATCTAATCGATTTTATTCTTTGTTTAAATTTTCAATAATCACACTTTATTTTTTATATTTTTAGTTTTTGAGTCCAAAATTCTATTGGAACAAAATATTAAAAAAAAAATAAAACTTTTAAATACCCATTTTCTTTCCTTTCAAATATTACTTTATCACTAAATTTTCCACAATTTGTTCTTTGAAAATTTTATTCAGTGTGACTCAAAAACAAGAAACTACATTTTTTTTTAAACAGAAAACTGTAAAATAAATTTTAGACGAACCATTTAATATATTTTTAAATTAATCATTAAATTGGAATTTCTTTAACAATAAGAGGGTCGCGTGGTTTATGGTCGATGGAAATATCGACTGCTAGTGGTTTCCCTTGAGTTGCCCGCATAACGAAAACTACGAAGCAAAAAATATGAAAAAGAAATCATGCCTAAAACTAGAAAAACAGCATGGAAGCATTGGGCCAGAATTGCGACAGATCTAATAAACAGCGCGCAAGCGTGGCTAAATGTTGGCCACACCATCAGCACAAAGTGCCTTGGATCAGCAGCCTCACCTGGACCTGTAACATAATAATCCAAAAGAACTAAGTTACAATCTGGCAAGGCCGGAAAGTGTTATATGATGGATTGTTACATTATGTCATTTGATAAATGCGTACGCATATGATCAATTTATAAGTAACAATGCCTATTGATAAATAGGCATTGCCTAAACTGATCAATTTATAAGTAACAATGCATCATCTCGTATAATCACCAATATAATATCATTGCCTAAACTGATCTATTATTATCGTGGCTTTGGAAATCGGATGCCCCCAAAAAAATCAGTACCCGATTTTTTTTATCGACAACATCAGCCTACGAAATATGATAACATCATGCACAACAATCTGGACATTTACATAACAACAAATATAAAAGAATAACAGAAACACAAAAGTAACAAATGTTTACCTCAAAATCGTAGGTAATAAGCAACAAAAGTTACTTGAAAAAGTAGACCAAATCATGGCATAATAAGGCATATAGAAAGGTAATAACAGTATTGAAGATAGTAAATATAATATCTAAAATGTTAGAATAATCTAAAACTTAAGTTTTCTGAAATCCAAAAATATGAATTAACAGTATTCACAGGCTTGAGGATCTTGATGATGCAATGCTTGTTGTTGGAAACATGTATGTCATCAAAGACTTCCAAGGAACAAGACTTCTACAATTGCAAGGTCTAGTTGAGTCCATATATGCACGGACACCGAAAAGAAGCAACTTTACAGTGACACCAAAGCTCACCCTCTAGTAAGGGAAAAAAAAAATTCCAAATAAAAATTAATTGAGAACTGCATGACTTTAAATTTCACTACTAGTATATAGCAATGCGATAAATGTCTTCCAATCAAATATCCTAACGAAAATTGTTGTTTTTTCTTTCATATGCTGAGCCAAAGGTGCAAGGAATTCGGACCTATCCCTAAAGGATGCTTAGTAACAAAAGAATCATGTTAACACCCAAATTAATTTAAAATAAGAACAATGGTGTTCACCAAACAACTGCAAAGAATCCCTTGAACAAAAAGAAAGCTAAGAATCCAGTAGAAGGGGCATGAGGACCATGATTCAGCATTAAGCATGAACAATGATTGTGCAACGTAGAGACTTCTGCAAACTATTCAAGAACAACTACTTTACAGTTCCTATCAGACAAAAATCATAACATCAATTCCATTGTGGAAGCAAATTTTTGTCAGACACCAAGAATCTAGCAACAGAATACAGACGACACTAATTAAGATGAATCTAAATGGTTTGGTGAAAACTAATAAAAATAAATGATAACATCCATGCAGTACACACCATATTTTCACAATCAAAACTAGGGTCATTATATATATCACCAAGTTCTTCATGAACTCAAAATCCTTTAGGGTTTGGACACTAACTATAAATAATAATCTGTAACACAAGGAAACTAACAATCGACCAAGAGACATGTCAAAAGTAAAGCGACCTGAAGACTGATTAAACTACAGCATATGAAATCTGTGGAATGCAAATCACAACAGCAAAAATTCAAGGTGACAAATACAAAGAAACAAATCGGGGATAGGCCTTGATTCGGGTTTCAGAGCAATGAACATCCGTATACTACAAATAAATTCTTTATCAAATAAGGGACTAGAGTTCCTTGCAGCTCTATCTACATAAACTATAAGTAAGAATCTGAAACATGATAACACAAGAAAATTAACAATCAACCAAGAAACATGTAAAAAGTAAAGAGACCTGAAGACTGACCAAACTACAGCATATGAAGTCTGTGAAATGCAAAACACCACAGCAAAAATTCAAGGTCAGAAAGAAACAAATCGGGGCTAGGCTTTGATTAGAGTTTTGAGAGCAACAAACACCCATGCACTACAAATCAATTATATATCGAATCAGGGATCAGGGTTCCTGACAGCTCTTTAACATCAGAATTATCAATCAACCAAGAAACATGTCAATGTACGGAGACCTGAACATTGATTAAACGACAACATACAAAGTAAGTCTGTCAAAGTGCTAAAAGATCAGCACGGAAAAAAATCCAAGGTGACGATTAAAAAGACACGATCAGGGCTAGGCTCTATTTAGGATTTCAGAATCAAGAACGAACACCCATGCACTATAAACTAACTCTCCAAATTAGGGTTCCTTATAGTTCGGAATTTCTTCCTAAACCCAAAAAATATATGAGGTCGATTACCAACCATAAACAAGAACATGAAAACACCAGGAATCTAGTGATTGATCTAAAAATACATCAAAGGAGACTTGCAGGGCGATGGAACTATAGAATACAAAATTTGTGAGGATGCTGAAGGATCATCACAGTCCAAGGTGGTTTGTAACTACTAGATGAAAGAACTATGGAAAGGGTTGTCCATCTATCATAATGTTTATCACAATCAAGACATAATCAATCGAGATTAAACCAAATAGGGCATCGGGGTCAGGCTTGGAGAAAGATTCAAGATCTTGCATACCCCCTGAACGGTGAGGGATTCGTAATCCCAGCACTCTATTGCCCGAGGACGACGATGTCGGCGTGGACTCGGACACTGGATATGGTGATCCGACTGTCGCCCTCGCGGAACTCGATCTTGCTCTCAGGAACGGCGTTTCGGACATCGCCGACCGATAGCGGAGGCCGCGAGCCTACCGGTTGCTCCAGGAGGTATGCGAAAATGATCGCGTCAAGGAACCGGCGATCGGGGAAGTATCTCGTTCACGCTCCCTCATCGCCTTCTCCCTCGCTACGCCCGAACCTAAACTAACACACACACACACACACACACACACACACACAGTCTCTCTCTCTCTCTCTCTCCCACATTACCGATCCCCTTCTTCCCTGCCTAATTCTTGATGTCTCATCGCTTCTTCCCCGCCCTCCGCTCATACCGAACCTGAAGTGTCTCCCTCAAGTGTATATAAACGCACCCTCCCCGATCGCGATTGAGCTCTCTCCACCGTTGATATTGTTCCAAGAATCGAGAAATAGAAAAGCTTCGACGGTCGAGGAGTTTCTGTGGTTTCCTGGTGGGGGAAACGCACGCTAACGCCGCCTGGGGTAACCTTACATATGGTTATGGGTACCGAATTGCGGGACGCACGTCTCTTCCTCGTGGGACCTGACATCTGTCGCTTCGTGGTTGCATGCGGTTTAGGCTAAGTGGGACCCGACGCCTATCCCTTCCTGGGTTGTCGCTCGATAGGCATGACTTGGCTAATCGAAGAATATTCGAATAAACGAATCAGAATATTAATTAATTTAGGATCTGATAGATAAAGAAAATATAATATCCAGAGTCCGAGGGGCAAACATGCTATTCCCAAAGTCGGTAAGGATAGATATGTAAGAATAGACATTTTCATAATGTTTCCTTATGTTTGAATATTCATTATATCACATTCTCAGGTTTTCAGAACCCCAATTAAACTTGTAAAGGTAGCTAAAGGTTTATCACTTAGCCATCACATCTCATCAACTTTTGTTGTGGGAAACAACTTTGAGTCGTGGCCTCGAGCCCGACGCGGCTCGGTTCGGGTCCGGACGACGGGGATCTCCCTAGGGCGTTCCTCGAGCCTGTTGAGGCGGTCGGGTGCGGTGTCCGATCGGGAGCGTGTAGCCGTCTCCTCCGGGCAGGAACTCCTCGCCTGCGCGTCCGGAGGGGACCTTCGGCTTCGCACCTGCACAAAGGTCGGGCCGAGCACCTCGGCCCGACCCCTCCGACGATCAAAGTTAGCGGATGTGGAGGGGGTTTCAGATGAAGAAGTGTTTTTGTGTATCTGTCCCTCTCTCCCTTTTTGATGAACGAGAGGGTATTTATAGGGAAGCATACTGCTTCCTGAGCTGCCCGCTTACAGGGGTAGGCTGGTAGCATCTGACTTTGTGTTGACGTGGCATGAAGAATTGAGCTTTGACAGGGTGTTAATGCGCCTCGTTCCTGATAGGGGCAAAAATGGTGATGTGACACGCCATCCCCCTGAGCAACACACTGCCCGAGGCTCGCCATACCCTACAGCAGCTCGGCCTCCCACGCAACCAAAGGTATAGTCCTGCCTTGCATCAGGTAACCTCAAACCTCCTCTATAAATACCCCCGAGCCCTTGGCAAAGGGGGGGAGGAACTCACTCAGACACAAAACACTCAGAGGCTCTTCTTCTGCCTCATCCACAATCCCCTCCATATCTCTCTCTAACTTGATCGTCGGAGGGGTCGGGTCGAGCACCCCGACCCGACCTTTGTGCAGGTGCGAAGCCTTCGGAGATCACCGCCTTCGGAGATTCAGCGGGCTCGAGGAGCGCCCCCCACGGAGACTACCGCCTTCCGGACCCGAACCAAGCCGTGACGGCCCCGAGGCCACGGCAAAAAAGTTACTTACCGTAACAGAATGGCGCTAGAAGGAGGGCCCCGGAAACGATGGTACATTAGCTTTCTCCTTGGTCGCTCCACTACAGTCGACCTGCACCAGCAGCAGCAACTTTTGGAGCCGGTCTCGGCTCCTCGG